AATATCTAATAATATTAAATCTACCTCAAATTCTTTATCTGCGACGTCTATAATACATGACTTGTAAACTGTATTAGTCGTCGTATTACCATTTGTAGCAGTAAACACTACTAAAGAAAAATCAAGGGACACAGGAACAATACTTAAATATTATGTAAATGAATGTAAAACAAACGAATGTGTAGCTCCAAGGTCAATGAAAGTATATGCTATGTGCTTACAAATAAGGTACGTACCCTGAATCACATTGGGAGCAACTTTAGCATCTTTAGCTGTGATGGCATAAACTCGATCTAGGACTACTGGTCTAGCTTCCGACTGAGGCTGGGGGTAATCATAGACTTGATGATCAATACTTCCACATCTGAAACATGCATTGTTGAGTCGGTAGCATGGGATATCTCCATGATTTTTATCACAATGAACACAACTCTAACCTTGTTTGGCCGATAGAGTTTGCAGTGAGGCAGGGTGAGCTATCTTAGGTCTCCTATTCTGGTGGCCTTGATTTAGAATTGGCTTTTTGTAAGGGACTGGAGGCCTGAAACTACCTGTTGTCGGTGCAAAGGTTCTAATAGTACTCTCAATGAGTTGTGCCTTAACCAGATCCTACTAATAGGTACGAAGCTCAAGTACTACCAGGACGGAGACCCTACTGAAATCTTTGGGTCATCTTTCCTTCATCATATATAATCTCGAGAGAGAAGTGGCTAAGCTCTATGAATTTTCTGGCATAATCAGTGATTAGGAGGTTTTCTTGGGTAAGCTAAGCGAACTTTATCTCCTTCTGATGACGAATGTGGTCAGGAAAGTATTCGGTATTAAACACCTCTAAGAAGTGTTCCCATGTGATGGGCATGGGTAGAGTAGTCTACTTAACTTCCCACTAGCGCTCTGCTTCTCCCTCAAGCATAAAGGTGGTAAGCATAATCTTCTATTCATCAGTTACTCCCATAACTCTAAAAGACTTTTCAGTTGCCTTTAACAAATTTTTAGCTTCATAGAAAATCGATGCTCCTATAAATGAGACTGGATTCAGTTGTTTGTACCTCTCAATATAACTGGGATCCAACGCTAATAGAGCTGGGCCTTGTTGAGGTGGAGGAGGAGGTGGATGATCTGGTAGGTCTCCCCTTGCAAGAACCAGGAGAGGATCAGGAAGGGCCCTCATTTCTTCTATAGCCTACTGATAAGTAACAAGCCTCTCCACCAGGTTGTAAAGACGGTCAACATCTTTTCGTAATGATTCTATCTGAGAAGATCTATTTATAGGGGGTCATCCTCGCCTCATTTTCGTTTACCTACATCACCAAATAAAAAATTTAAGATATACCCCTTTGAAATTATATTTTCAACTATAGTCTTATCCTTAAGTCTAATGTTCAAGAGATAGTTCCGAGGAATATGGGCTCGGATACCAACTATAACAATCCGATATCTCATTCAGAGTCCTGACCGAATACCCATAATGTCAAGATAAAATAATCTATAGGAATACTTCTTGCAGCAAATTTTAAAATAATAAAAAATACATCCCTTGTATACTTAGCTCAAAATATTCAATATCCATGAGTAATGTCTAAACTCTAAAATAAATACTCATTAAAAATAAAATAATTAAAATTAAGTACTGATCAAATTAAAATAAAAATTAATTGATATCCTAGAAAGTCTTTCACTGTTCAGAACGGGTTCTGAATATTCTAACCTATAAGAAATAAATAATAAATATGTTGAGTTTAATATGCTCAGTAAACATGTAAGTACCAATAAATAATAAAAGTCCAAGTTGGTAGAAAATATAGAGCTACCGACGGAGATGGTTCAAAATACTTTTCTTTTTAATTTGCAAATTCAATTAATAAATCTTAAAAATTAGTTTATTCAGTAAATATTCAAAATTTTTTATTTCAGTATTATAACTCAAGACACAAACAGTTCAATAAATAGTATAATTCAGTATTCAGTATCATAATTTAAGCAGTAAGCAGTTCAGTATATATTAATTCAGTAGTTCAGTATCGTAAACTCTAATCATGACTTCATATTCATTCCTATCAGTTTATATCTTATTAAAAATAGTTTCATCGTGCGATGCTATTTCTGCCGATATCAACGAGATCAATAAGGAACCTATCTACCACGTGAATACGTCCAAATATAGTTCATAGTTTGCAGTACACAATATATAATTCACAGTTCTTATTGTTTCGCCACATCTGGCTAAAGCCGTATCCATGAGTAGGGTTCACCATAGTCACATGCCAAAAGGCTACACACACACTCACTCCTCTATGATACCGGTTAAATGAGTTTTTTAAATCTTTTATGTCTATCAATTTATTTCAATTCACTAATAAATTTTTTAATTTTATTATTCAATATATTCTATACATATGACACACATGCTTTAACTATTTATCATCATAGACTCTTCTACATATCCTTAATATACTCCTAATTACATAACAACTAGTACATATACAAATTCAGTTACAAAACATAGCAAGACAATTTATCAATAATTTTAAAAATAAACATAAATAAGAACATAACAATCAACAATAAAATCTCGTCAGAATTTTACGTCTAATTATCAATTATTAAGTGTCATAATTTTAATATCTTAGAAAGATTAAACTACATTTATAAGTGCCTATGCACTTACCTGATTTCTGTATATATCTCGTTCGTGAAATTATCTCCAATGTACAAGATCAACTTGTTACAGTAATATCTGTATTGGATTAGAAATGAATTGGTTATCTCTTAATTTCAAACACACATGCCTATACTTATTCCTAATTCTAAATCGGATAAATAATTTATTGCATTAAAATTAAATAAGATTAATTAACCTTAAATCTAAAACGGTAAACCCTAAGGGCACTGACCCGAACTGGGTTCCTAGGACTCGCTGCGCATAACCACCAAAAGTCCACACACCTCCACACGCGTAGCAACCGGACCGCCACGTGCCGCCACCGTTTGTCGTTAATTAGTGATGCTCACCACTACGAATTGGCCGAAATTCACCACAGAGCGCTTCACGCCCTTAGATTCGGCACATATCTGGTGAAATCGCGACGAAGGGAACCACGAAACAATAAAACATGGGTCGAGCCACTGCATAGATCATCTTCTTTTCATGCTCAAGGTCGCGTGTAACACCAGCTTCTCCTCCTCCTTTTTCTTCTTCTTCTCCTTTCTCGGCTGCCGATTGATGGTTGCAGCCCCTTTCTCTCTCTCTCTCTCTCTCTCTCTCTCTCTCTCTCTCTCTCTCTCTCTCTCTCTCTCTCTCTGTGTGTTCCTACACCGATCTCCTTCCCCCTCTTTCACATTTTATAGGGAGGAGCGAGAGGAGTCCTGCACGACCCTTCTTCTTCGACATGCAGGTATCCTCTTCTTCCTTTTCGGCTGGTGACAGAGGCATACACGCCTCTGTCTCTTCATCTTTCCTGACCAGAGGCAAACACACCTCTGGTTTTTTTTTCTTTACCTAAAACGGCACTATTTTA